AGACAAATAAATCATTTAAAACTTCTTTTGAATATCTATGTACTTAATTATCAGCCTGTTCAACTATTTGATTTCCAACGCTTTTCCTTTTTCAAAAATGAATTAATTCAACATCTTTTCATGGAGTAAATGAATTTACCTTTAAAACTGTAATAAATACACAGATTACTTGTGGCCATCTTTACACCACACTGATCGATTTTTATGCGTTATAGAGGTCAATTTTATTAATGCTAAGAGCATGTAATAGTTGAAAATATGTTTAATCCTCTAGCAATTTGTAGTTTAGAAATTCCACTGTAAACATTAAGGATGCGTGATAAATAAGATACAAAAACAAAAGTGCAACGCAAAATATAATTGATACATAAAAAATGCATATATATATATATCACAATACAATACTTAAAAATTTCTGTTTTTCTCTTTATTATTTTCTACCGGTTTCGTGACTTCAAAGGTCACTCCTCAGACGTAATTTAGGTTATATTAAACTACAAAATCAATGTGACGGTCAATCCCACTATTCGTTGGTAAAAGAGTAGCCCAAGAGTTGGCGGTGGGTGGTGATGACTAGCTGCCTTCCCTCTAGTCTTACACTGCTAAATTAGGGACGGCTAGCGCAGATAGCCCTCGTGTAGCTTTGCGCGAAATTCAAAAACAAACAAACAAACAATCTTAATAAAGTATTCATTCTAAAGAATAAAAAACAAACAAACAAATAATTGATAATCTGACCAGATAGGTAAATATTTGAAAAATTATGTGATCCAAACTCAATTCATTAAGTGCAATCGTACTTTTTATTTGTTGTTATAAAAACAAACTATGAAAAGGTAGTGAAACGTTTACTGAAACTGTGTGTGCTATAGTTTATGAACTTTGGAATGTGTAATAGATGAACAAATTTCACAGTCCCAGCATTCGACTATCTTCGTGGACTACAGGATTTGTTTGTTTGTTTGCTTGTAATTAAGCACAAAGCTACACAATAAGCTATCTGTGCTCTGCCTACCACGGGTATCGAAACCCGGATTCTAGCCTTGTAAGTCCGCTGTGCCACTGGGGGGGGGGGGACAGACTACAGGAACCGTTTTCAATGTTTTTTATCTGTGCTTGTGCAATTAAAAAAGAGTTACTTTGGAAAATTACCTCAATAAATATTTTCCCAAAAGATGTACCTATTAAAAATGCAATAATCTCCTAGTATTGCACTGAATGTTTTAATTTAATGTTTTGGTTAGCTTTTAATTACTTCACATTCAGTAAGGTAGCACAATTATCTTAGAAATTTTTATGCCGGGTTTAGGGTGAGTTTATAAACTTTATAATCTTTAAAAATCTAGTTTCTAATGATTATCATAAATCTGAAGACTTTCTAGAAATTCTACTTGTTTATGAAAAAAAAGTCTCGAATAATGTATTTAATTATTTTTATACTTTTAAAACATTTTATGTGTGGATTTTATTTTATAATTTGGTAAAATGTTAATTCTTAAATTGTATAATTTTGTTTCTCCCACAAAATTTCTTGAATAGGACTGTTTTGTAACGAATCCATTAAAACAAATAAAGAAATATTGTTAAGCAAGGATTCCCTATCTCTTTTTTGTATTAATACATATATATTAAGAGTGTGCCATGAAAATTTTTATTAGCTGTGCAAAATGAAATTTAGGAGAAAGCTGTGGCGTAATAAAACTATTTCAAAGTTTCGGTGACCAAAAATAGGATCTGATGAGATATAAGAGTAAAAAACTAGAAAGTTCCAACAAGTATCAAAGATGTAGAACAAAATCGTCTTCTTTTCCTTCTAGGAAACTGATTTGTTATTTTACCGACGACCCATTTCTAGTAAGTTAGAGTTGCTTATTTATTGAGGAGAAACCTAAACTTAAATGAAAGGACCCACCCGCTAAAGAAAGATAAGGTAACAGCCATTCAGTTTATTTTTTATTTCATTTTATGCAAGCATCCAAACATAAAGGAGAGAAAAATATGTAACACTAACACTCGTTCCGTTTTATAAGTTTTCCTTCAGAGAAAGAGCTAATCATTGATTTCGAGGGAATCCACTTTTTTTTTTATTGTGATATGTACACGTTCAGTTATTTTCTTAACGGTTACTATGAGTCAAAACGTCTATGTGAAAGTAAAAACAAAAACAGGTCAATAAAACGCACTTGGCACGAACTTATACTGATACGAATATATATATATATACACATATACTGAAAGAGCTTTTGTATTCCACAGCTAAGAACATGACACATTAGTTTAGTCGTGTTGGAATTCTTGTTAAAAATAACGATATTACATATTAGTTGTCATAGCTTTACGTCTGAGATACATACAAATATTTTCCAATGAAAAAGTAAAAACGTAGCTGCTTTAAAAGTAATAATGCTCCAAAAAAACTTAGTAAAGACAGACAAGCATAATCAAATTTCCTTTACCGTAGCAAAAGAAGTGGTTTAAAATTGACATTACAATAATAACTTTCTCGCAAACTGTCAAATAAACATATTCATGCATGATTTCCTAGTCATATGAATATCACTAGATCGTTTTAGTTACACTATGAATTCACAAAATAAACATATTCATACATGATTTTCTAGTCATATGAATATCACTAGATCGTTTTAGTTACACTATGAACTCACCAAATAAACATATTGATACATGATTTTCTAGTCATATGAATATCACTAGATCGTTTTAGTTACACTATGAACTCACCAAATAAACATATTTATGCATGATTTCCTAGTCATATGAATATCACTAGATCGTTTTAGTTACATTATGAACTCACCAAATAAACATATTCATACATGATTTTTTAGTCATATGAATATCACCAGATCGTTTTAGTTACACTATGAACTCACCAAATAAACATATTCATACATGATTTCCTAGTCATATGAATATCACTAGATCGTTTTAGTTACACTATGAACTCACCAAATAAACATATTCATACATGATTTCCTAGTCATATGAATATCACTAGATCGTTTTAGTTACATTATGAACTCACCAATAATCCTTATTATAATTTACTTGTGTGATTCCAGAACACATCCACTTAATGTCAATTTTCGCTTCAAGCTGTTTCCATACATTCCTTCAGGTTTACTCGATCCACAATGTTATGATACCATTTCGAATACATGTCAAACTAAGACTAACCATAATGAACTTAACTATTATTTCCCCAACATCATAACTTCATCATTGTCGTACAGAAACAAAATCTTAAAGAAAACATGTGTATATAATACATTAACTTATACACTTAAAATAAGATAAGATAAAATTTATATAGAAGAGTATTGCATAAAATTTGATTTAAGCAAAAAATGGAGGATTAAATCCTGCATTAAGTACTTTTTAAAGAGGTTAATAATTAGGAATTCTAGGTAGCGTGTGTATATGTAAAGTTTTGAATTTCTTATTAACATTACTGTTTTTGTATAAGCATAATAGTGAAATATTATTGATATATAACAGAAAATTGTATTAATTGCAACAACCAAATACTGAGAAGTAACATTAACTTTACTTATACCGACAGCAATCAACTAGGTTCGAACCCTTGTTATACTAAGGAACAAAACTGGAAGTAAGTTGTTTATCCTAATTCACTAACTAAACAATTATAAATGGAACTATTTATGCTATTTTTTAGGGATAGATAACAGAATACGTAAATTCATAGAGAGATGTAATAGCATTTTAAACCCTAATTGAAACAACCCATTTTTGAACGGAAATTGGCGAAGTAAACTTTTCCGTATAATATAATTTTCACATAAGAAACACGCAAATTTTTCACATCACATTCATTTATCGTTCTCTTTCAATAAAATATAAATACTTAGTATGTTTACCTTTAACCCTCAATTGAATTTCACCCAAGTGGCTCAGAGATAAGTTAGAGGGCTTATAACGCTAAGAAATACATGGTTTTTGTGGGGGACACAGCGCAGATAGACCACAGTGTAGCTTTGTGATTTACAAAAATCTACCAACCAGTTATCTACTGCACAAAGTGCCATACTGTCTGAAGTAAAAACGTTGGTAGTAAGAAACAAGTTTAAGTAATAAGGCATAAAAATTACAAATATTACCTGAGCTTAATTCCAAGAACAAAATGCTGAAACCCTGTTGGTTGTGTGTGTGTGTGTGTGTGATTTTTCAATTTTTAAAGAAAACAGTTTAAGCTTTATTTGAGTTAAGGCTGAAGTGGAGTAACGTAGTTGAATCCTTCAGCGAGATATCAAATCACAATACAACGAAAGGCAGTTTTAAAATTAAATATAGTTTAGGCCTTTAACTTACAAAAAGAAACAAAGAAAGAAAGAAGCCAAAACAGGTTTTGGATCTCAGATCAGGCAAAATTAAGCACTACATGTTGCATATAAGTTTCGAATCTCAGATCCGGCAACAATTAAGCACTACATGTTGTATATGTAGCTAATAATTTTTTAACTTTCCATACTAAATTATATCATGTAATTGCTTTAAAGATATATACTGTGTAATGTAAAAAAAGTACAAAAATCACGAGAATACCTAGATCTTCCATTCCCGAAACATTTAATTTGGTTGATTCTGACTTCATTTAAATGCTTATCTAGAAGAGGGTTTGAGTTCCTCAGATGATTCTTAAAGTAATGGCAATAACAATATGTTTTGGTTGCAGTGAGAAATGCATCAAATGAAGGAAGTTTCTTCAAGCTATTGATGTGGTACGCAATAAACTAGAAAAATCAATATGTGTTGTAACAAGTTCCTCACATTAATCCAGATGGTAACTAAAATAATTATTTGGAACAGATCGTTACTGTTATTGTCCCTATATTAGTGACTGTTAATTAAAATACACATTTTTTCAGTACAGTAAACAAACCAAAAACTGCGTAGAACCAGTTTATTAAGCGTTAACATTATACTCCTAACGTAGTAAAGAGTTAGTACCATAAGCCTACCTTTAGTTTTAGTTGTTGAACAGTGATATTCCCTTAAACATTCTTGTAGACATTGTTTCAGCTCCTCTGCACAGTATACACAGTCATCTCCACGTTGTCCTGGAAACACCCTCCGTTTGGGTTCAAAAGGGAATGGTAAACGGTGTGACTTTATTTTTTCAGATACCGAAATGACTAAAACCAGAACAGTCACACATGCCCAATTCATAGTTAAATATAAAGAAATTGAAAGCAGAAAAGGTGAATATTGTTCGCAAAGTTTACGTAAAAAAATCTATCTATATATATTTGTACAAGTATTTTTATAACTTTTTAAAGATGCGAATATAGGAAATGTATTCAAATGCTGCCAGATTCTTGCGTATTTTTCGACGTTCTCAACCCAACCACTTCGTCACGATAGCTGACAATGTAGACCAGAGAACCGAGTGTCGGAAAGATAAAACAGCTGACAAAAACTATTCACGTCCCGGTGTCTACGCTGATGGGATGTAATTGGTCATTTATTATTTTGTTCACCTTCAGGTGGTACAAATAAATTATCTTCATTTCCGGGTTTTCAAGACAGGGAATGGTGAAATTGATAGACTTTAAAATGAACTAATTTGCAAAACAAAATATAATTACATGCATTAGTTAGATCTAAGAGAATTTGAAAAACCACTCTAACACCAACAAGACTCCTCAATTAAGATGAGCTATGGATATGTTATACTGCTCAAGACAGGCTTATAACACTAGTCAAGTTTCACCGCCCATAAACAATGATTCACCATATAGCAGTAAAGCTAGATAAAATGTTCTTGTTGCTAATCAAAATTAATCAATCAGAATCTTGATTTTAATCTGGTTTGTTTGTTTTTGGAATTTCGCGCAAAGCTACACGAGGGCTATCTGCGCTACCCATCCCTAATTTAGCAGTGTAAGACTAGAGGGAAGGCAGCTAGTCATCACCACCCACGGCCAACTCTTGGGCTACTCTTTTACCAACGAATAGTGGGATTGACCGTCACTTTATAACGCCCCCACGGTTGAAAGGGCGAGCATGTTTGGTGGGATGCGGATTCGAACCCGCGACCCTCAGATTGTGAGTCGAGCGCCTTATCCACCTGGCCATGCCGGGCCACCATTAGGGTATTCAAGCTTTAATGCCCCCCAGTAACACAGCAGTATGTCTGCGGACTTACAACGCTAGAATCCGGGTTTCGATACCCGTGGCGGGCAGAGCACAGATAGCCCATTGTGTAGCTTTGTGCTTAATTACAAACAAACAAAAAACAAGCTTTAATATTATTCAAGTTGGAGAAGACAAACTATTCGGCACCAGTTGAAAACTCAAGACTTGAAAACTTATGAGTGAAAGCAAAGTAGAATATCTTACAATACGTCAACTGCTTCACATTTGCCATATCTAGCATTGACGAAACTTTTCGCCAGATATTTTAAATAAAAAAGTATCGCTTTGCAATATATCCGTTTGCCAAGTTTTGTGACATGCCCGGGTTTAAGTAATAATTTATTCAGTGCCCTAGCTCTCGCTTTCCAAGAAATCTCACGGATGTTAGCTGCTCACGTGATTAAAGGTGGTTCTGACCCACATAACCTGTTTATAAAACGTGGTTTGTTGAAAGAAATAATTAAAAGATACTTCTGTTTTATTTCAAACTACTATAGTATCTTATCTGATGATAAACGTAATAATGTCCTGATAAACCCACACGCAAGTATTAAAAGATAAGCTGAAACTAAGTAAGAAAATAAGAACGTTTATACCATACATGATAATGTACCACGAAGTTCTAAACGTTTTTGTGTGTATTATAGATCTGAAAAACAAATACCTTTTTACGGCAGATGCTCGTCACAAAACCACTTCTACAGATATACTTTGTGTAACTCAAACAGAAACTGTAATGTTCTTCTGGAAGTCCAAGTTTCTCAAACACCAGTGATCCACAGCGATAGATGATATTGAACTTTCCAATTATCTTTAGTAAGATGTAGTGTATTTATGGGTAAATATTACATAGGCGTTGGGAAAAAAGGGAGGGACTCTATCTTCAATCCAAGAGGCTAGCACCTACTTTAGCCCCTTAAAGTTTTTTACAGTCCTACGACCCCCCAACTTGAATTGAGTATTTGACTAAAAATATTGAGTCATTAAAAAAAAGTATCCAAAATCAATTTGTAATACGAGAAAAAGAGTCGAAAACATAAGATAAAAAAAAAGAGATTAAAAATTAGAAGTTCCCTAAACTTCTTACCTTCACATCAATTTCGTGGTCGCTTATTTTTTTCCTGATTTCTTCATATCATTGCCCTTACTGCCTCACACACAGATACATATTATACTTCCAACACTTTTTCTAGATGTTTATTATATTTTTAGCAAAATAAAATCGAATATATATATATATATATATATATACACAAGTCATAACTGCTTCTATCTGTCCAGAGCTAACAGTGAACATGGCAGAAGCCCAAAGAAATTCAGTAAAATAAACGGCAAAAATTTAGATGTGTAAAATAGGTATATTCTAAATTCAGTAAAACAAACTGCAAAAAAATAGATTTGTAAAATAGGTATATTCTAAATTCAGTAAAACAAACGGCAAAAATCTAGATTTGTAAAATAGGTATATTCTAAATTCAGTAAAACAAACGGCAAAAATTTAGATGTGTAAAATAGGTATATTCTAACTTCAGTAAAACAAACGACAAAAATTTAGATGTGTAAAATAGGTATATTCTAAATTCAGTAAAACAAACTGCAAAAAAAATTAGATATGTAAAATAGGCATATTCTAAATTCAGTAAACCAACTGCAAAAATTTAGATGTGTAAAATAGGTATATTCTAAATTATTTTGAAGTATAATAGCACTACAAAGTA